CAATCAGCGCTTTCATCTTTTGCTAAAAACGAAACGGTAAGTATCCGATGAAATCAATAGGTAAAAGCAAAGATCAAATGTAAGATAAATACCGGCAAATATTTCATGAAATAAATATTTAAGTAATTAAATGCGCCAAAGTATTAAGAAATAAGTAAATTTAAGCAATATTTGTATAATTTGATAAAAGTGACTTTTACATAAAACCATTGGACTGTTTTTATTTGATAGAATGGTCTCAAAAAGGGATTTTCAATTTTTAAAAAGAGTCTTAAAAAATTTCAGTATTAGATAATCAGCTTTAAAATCTCAGCTATCAGTTACCATTTTCAAAGTTTACTAGATGTGAGGAATTCTTTGGAATCTCTTGATTGATCGTTTTCACAGTCAGAGCTTTTTTCCGACGATATTCTGATGTAATAATTTTCTGGCAAATTCTTCAGCAGTGATTACCATAGCAAGTAATTAATATTTCATTAACTCAAAGAGAATTTAAATGAGACGAAGTTGAGAAGTTAGCTTAAATCATGATTAGTTTTTCAGGTACGTAAGGCTACTCTGAATGCTTTGCAAGATGAAAGGACATTGAAAACAGCATATCGTGTTATTCAGGCTTGTGATAAGCAACAGCAGCAGAAAGATCTTGTAAATTTAGAAGAGAATATACCAACTAGTACATTTTTCAATCATGGTGCGACTTCCAAATTCGACGCAGACAAAGCTCCGGTATCGATATGTCCTTCGGTTGCTTTATCACGAGATTATGCATCTGAAACCAATTCTAAAACAAGTGGTAATTTTGCAGCTATATTTAGTCAGTCACACAATATCGTGCAATCTAATTTCACTTCGGGTGATTTCATACTTAAATTTTTTTTTACCCTCAACTTCAAATTATTAATTTGAAAACTAGAACACTGAAGATACCATCGGGTTAATGCACTCCACTGATAACAAAATTTAACCTTTGAGATTTGAAATCAGGTCAGACCTTCTTCTCCAGCCAATCCCAGTAGTCTAACCTACTTTCAAAACCCAGAGACTAAACTTTGTTAACATTCCCTGGGATTCTTTGCTTTCTCTCCTTAAAATTAATTTAGGTGTTCTAAATTTTGATTTCGCAAAAAAAGCCCGGTTACAAAAAACTCCATCACAACCAGTACCATAGAAGCCACATCATAATACAGTTCCAGAAACGAATGTATTTACGGACACGAATCAAGAAGAACAGCCGCATGGTTATGCAAAATTTCAGTTCCTCGCATCACATTTTGATGAACTCTCCGCAGAACCGTCCGATATGATTATTCTGGAAAAAAAGGTTTTCAGTATTTTTACAGCTTGGAAAGAATTTCAGCAGCTGATTTCATTTTGTTCCAATGCTCATATTTTTTGAAATAATGTTTCCTTAAAAACCTTTCCAAGTTATGTCAGGTAGATGATCAGTGGGTCTACGCGCTCAATAAAAGAACTGGTCAGAAGGGAATTATACCACTTTTGTATATTGATGTAAAAACTCCTTTTCCGACGGCACTAACACCATCGAATTCCCAAGTGTAAGCTGCTTTTTTTTTCTATCTCTCTCTCTCTGCAGTTTTCTTGTTAATCCAAAAAATGGGGATATGCTGTTTATTAACTATGTTATTTATGAAATCTGAACCTTTGGAATAAAAACTAAAATACCCAATTCTTGCAAACCAATTTGTCCTAGTGACTGTCGGGAAAGCTGTTGAGTTTGTTTGTCAGCGATATAGGTTTATTCGGAATATTATTTTTGAACAATATTATATTACTGGTTAACAAGCGCAAAAAAAAGTATGAGATATATAGTACTTTAGTTTCGCGGTAAATTGGTAAGTAATGATAAATAAGTTCTACCATAAACAGACAATATAATCAAGTGACAAATTCTTTGTCATTGCTTTTGATAATAGTTGAGCGCCCGTTTGTTGATAGGTTGCATAATGATTGAAATGTGAGTTATTTCTTCGTTGAGTTGAGGATATGCCACAGGGTATTTATTTAATGGAAGGAAGGAATGTTGTAGTTTGTTGTCCAATGGTGGCGGAAAGGCGAAGAAGACGTTATAATCTACTTGATTGTTAAAAATGGCTTATAGGCTTTTTTTTTTTTCATATATGTATACCCAAGATTAGAAGAGGAGCTTTGGTAAGCTCCACCGGAGTTATCAGGAGGCATGGCTGCCTTTTGGAACGATCCGTTGTGCTGCCACGAATAGCTGCTGTGATATCTTTGTGATATTCTTTCCATTGTTAGCATATATCCTCCTACTGCCTTAATTTTATATACGGGACTTCGTCATCCTGCCTAGTAGATATTGTAGAAATTTTACTTGAACATAACTTAAATTTCGGTAATCCAACAGCGACTAATCTTATCGACGTTGATATATAATATTGGAACATGAACTAGTATTCAAATGGGTCGACTTCAGATGGTGAAATGAATTGCGTTGGGGATTTGATGTCTCCTAGACTGAGTGTGACAATGAACACACACAATGAAAAATTGACAAAGAGTGATAGATTAGTGAAGATGCTGATAAGACCTTTTTTACATTATATTGATAATTTCTAAAAATTTTCAGGCCATTCTATGCAACTGCACTATTCGATTTTGATAGCAACGTGTCAGGAGATCTTACGGCAAGCCATGTTGATTATAATTTTGCTTTTTGACATTTAGCAAATTTAGTTCCAATCTTGATGATTAGTTTTTGATTTTCACCAATTTTAACTGATAGATGTAATGAACATGTTTAATCCCAATTTGTTTAGTTCCGAGCAAATGATGAAATTTATGTTATCGAAAGAATTAATGATGATTGGCTATGTGGTAGGATCGGCATACGCCAAGGTATCTTCCCTGCTAGTTATGTTGAGAAGGTTATCGTTCCAGCAACAGCGACTTCAGAACCCATGAATTGTCATGCGTCAACGGAATACGTCAGTGCCTTATATGATTATAACAGTACTGTTGAAGGCGACCTAATTTTCAAGGCAGGTAAGTGAATCCATATGAAGCCTTTTAGTGTTTCATCACAGCCTAATTCTTCTTGTCATCGTAGCGTTTGGTGATCATACAGGAAGTTCTCTTTAAAATGCTCCTAAAGCAGTTGACAATAGACAGGTCTTTTAAAGGATGGTGCAGAAATCGTAAGGCTCACTTCGATTCATAATATCGCAATAAATCTTCCAAACCGTGGTATTCGCTTTTTAAACGTTTTTATATAGTATTCTCATAAGTAAAAAGGATTTTACGTTTAATCATGCTACCCTTTATAGGTGACCAGATAGAAGTACTAGAATGGGCAAGTGAAGATTGGTTGAGAGGTAAGCTGAATGGAAAAATTGGCTTGGTACCACGCATCTATATTGACTGGAGCAGTAACGTTGACGCTAGAAAACAATTGAATGCTACGAATACAATTGTCACTGCAACGAAAGATTATTATAATAGTGCAGAAGACCATTTATGTTTCTCGAAAGGAGATCAAATCGAAGTGATTGAGGATGTTGGTTTATTAATCCAAAATTTCTGATTTTTGTTCCTTCAAATTGAAAAGATTTGCATTATTCTTACTCAAATACTGGTAGTAAACAAGATTTTAAGTGTTACTAGGATTTCACTGAAATTGTGGAGATCGAATTTACAGTTATATGTGGAATGCTAAATATTCACTTATAAACAGTAGCCATCTTGGTTCTGAGCGAGTTGCGAGGGAGGGGAAGAGACGGGGGGGGGGGGGGTTATAATACATTAAGCCGAGAATTCCATGGTTTCATAAGTTTTCTCTGGACTTTGGGCCATACCTAATTTTTTTGTCTCTGCATTGTTAGCATTAACCGTTTTGTTTCCAGCACATTTCCAGAAATTCTTCTTGCTTTTATTTGCAGGTCAGTGGTGATTGGTTGAAAGGAAAACTGTTGCTGGATATGAGTAACAAGAAGGCTTTCCCGGTGGGATTATTTCCAAGGTCAGCCATCTTGTGACTTCATTTATCTTTTTCTTAATAAGTTTATTGCTGTCATATTATTATTGTACTCAAAGTAAATATGGATCATGATAACTGTCAAGATCCGAGATTTTTGAAACCGTCTTTCCTGGACTCTCCGTCTCTCTAATGTCTCTCCTGGACATTGCAGTTCCGAATGTTCCAATTGATTGAAAAGAATATATCATGATCCACATGATTTAACAGAATCAGAAATTCTGTCAAGTAATGTAAACGTTGTGATCACACTGCTAAATTTAACTCTTCCGCTATTTTAATTTTATTTAATCAAATATACGATGTTTTTGAAGGATTTTTATTTCCATATCGCAAAACATCCAGTAATCTTCAAAAATCAATATGATATAAAACTGAGTATTGCAGTAAATATAAACAGTGATTGAATCGAATGAATTATGAAGTAAAGAGATATTATGAATTATGAGGAAGTACATTTTGTGACTGCATTTTACAACGACAATAACTCGACAAAAAAATCAGGGTTGAACTGACTCCCACCCCATATCCGTGACTTTTGCTCAGCTACCGGTAGTTTTATGAAACATTTTTTGATCTATTTTGGATAAAAATTAAGTAAATTCCAATACAATATTCACAGCAGTTGATTCCTCTGTTCTTCAAAAAATGGTTTGAATGCTAGCCAATGCACGTTCTACTCAATGAACCATGCTACTTAGGCATAAAACACTCCTAGAAATTGAAAAACCTACCTAATTATCACAGGAATGTAACTTATTTGACCTGAAAAGTAATGAATGCTAGGAATGTAAATATGCGCAAAGTAAAGCTGAGCGAAGGAAAAGTCTGTGCAGAGTTGTCGACAGTGATACGGGGTTTGCCAACTCCCCCCTACTAGCGTTTCAAATTAAATGCAACACGATATAAAACAATAATGAGTTCAATCTCTAAACGAAACAGTAATAATATCAATTGTTAATTTTGCTTTTAATTTCACTGGAGTTTTTTCAAATGATTGGTTTTTAAAAAGCATTGACTTGCTGAGTTTCTGGATATTTCTGGGAATATTCATTGTTGCAACAGTACTGGATATATTTTAAGTCTTTTTTTTTTTTTTTTTAAAGTAAAAAGTATTCGAATTGCAAGCACCAACTTTGACTAAAACATGCTGTTGTTCGAACATTTTCCAAGCATGCAATCACCCTTGTCTAAGTCCGACAAATCTAAGTTGCAGTTGTTATTAAGGGAAGCTCGAATATAATAGTGAGGAAGGGCTTAAGCAGGTTAGTTTCGTCAAAAAAAAAAAAAAGGAATATTGCTATCCTATTCAGTTCTGTAAATAACTTCATTTAGGATAGTGGAATTAATGCCTATGTCTTTGGCAATAAAAGAAGACTTTTACACAAAGAGAAGAGCAAACGCTAAGAAATGATAAAAGATTAAAATAATTGATTAAACTCTTAAGAAATTTGTTTTATCAATGTTGATAGCGACAAAATACCAATAAAAGCCCACTGTCGTTGCTGTTAAGACCGTCTTACAATCATCTGCTTAGTCGACTGAACAAGAAAGAGAAATTTGGGTTATTTTTTAAGGAAATGGTTTCCTGATCAATTGCCTTTAACGCAACACTACAGATTCGTCACATGATTAATCAAACAACCCAGACGGTATCTCTTGAACTTAAATTTAAAAATTGCTATAAAGATTTGATACGACAGCAAAATAGTTTAACATGAGCAAGAGTTTACAATGGGAAAAAGCATGTTAATGGCTGATATCCAATTCGGAAAAATTATCTGGGAGTATTAAACAAGAGACCTGTTCGTACTTCTCCGCAGCATATTTCTCAAAAACACTACAGTAATCCTTATTCGGAACTTCGTGAAAGAGTTCAAGCATTTTTCGGGCAGGCGTTCGAAGTTCATCAAGGCCAATATCTGCAAATTAAGATGGTAATATGAAGAAATTTAGGAAAAATGTGTCAAGTATCAAAAATCCGACATTTGACCTTATAAAAGTATATATAACGATGATAACAATATGGTTCATAAGCATAATTATATACCATAATTCTTTAATCAACAAGATGTTCTACCAAATTCGTACTTTTTCTAGAGTATTTTAATGACAAGTAAAAATTTCAAAACACTGATTTGGAAGTAAGGTGACAGTGGACATTACAAAACATCTTTTGTTCTTATTGCTGCTATTCGCTGATCCACTTTATCCAGTGTCTTCAAAAAATTAATAGTTAATATACTGGTTAAATAATTCAATAATAAGTTAACTATTATATAAAATCAACCTGTCTCCGTAATCGAAAGCAGATAATCGGATTTGAAGATCACATTACTGAGAAAGAATGATGCTGCCCCAACAACGCTTGGTCGGAAATCCAGAAATGTATGATCAAGAAGGGCAAGCTCCAACAGATACCTCATCATGCAATAAATTATTCTTGGAACATGAGCCATACGTACCAATCGCGCGGCAAACCACCATGATGTAGGTGCTAATAATTGATATTCTACTCTTGCAAAAACTATTCGTTCCATTCTTATAATCTGAAATGGTACTTCTTTTTTAATTGGTTTATGTACAGCTGAACTTATCACTGAAGTTATTTCAAAAATATGAGCTTTGTTCGAAAGATGAGGAGACAAATCTATATATAAATATGACAAGCAAGCGAGAAAAAAGATGCATAATGCTACAAACGTTAGAACAAATACTAATTTGGAGGGAGTTGTGATTCACTGACAAAATCCACGGTTTTCAAATTACTTATGTTTGCTGAATGAAACAAAATACCGAAAAATCAAAACAAAAGGATTGAACTATACCCACCCTGAAGTATTTATTCATATCAAAAGACAAACATTGAAAGACTACCGTTATTAAACCCAGTTAAAAGAAGTGAAGAAGCAAATATATAATAAAACCAACATATCACAGCTAGATTATCATGAAATGGCGCTTAATTAATGGATAGCAATGCAAACAATGTATTTGTAAGATATACTTCCGTTTCATGAAACGTGTAAGCAGTAATTCTTGCGAATTCTTTCATTTCTGGCGGATAGATCTCTTCAAATTTTGATGCAAGCAACAGAGCTACAGCACCAAGTAGTTGCAACTTCTCACGTGGACATTGAATTGTATTCAAGACTCGATCAACGATTGAAACTGCCATGTGTAGGGATTCCTGAAATCAAGCTGAGCTACCTTCATTTGTGCGTTCCACAAAAGAATATGATCAATCGATTATAATCATTTATGTTGGAACTATTTTCGACAAATAGTTGAATTTTATTCATTTAGGAATAAATCGCCCCCAGAGAAATATTGAATATTTGGAGTATTTCTGACGTAGAGTAACATTTCAAAAAGAGAAACTGTTATATCCTGCACATTTTGGATCTATGGTAAGATTAATCCGAATGCATGCAAAAATTTTTCTTTTGAGAACAAAACAAAATTAAAAGCATTCCAAAAATGCGGAGTATACCGTGCTTAAATTAAATTCTCGAGCTGAATCACAAATCCATTCGACGAGAAGATATCTCACTTCACCGCATATTTCTTCTTGAAATTCTAAAAAATCTCCAAAAGCACAAAGTTTTAATTCCCTATATCTCATATAAACATAGATATCCGCATCATACACTGGATCCGTACGCACTCGATCCTCATGCTCCTCCTGAAACTCATCACATCATTTACCAATTATATAAAATCCGTTTTTTCCTTCTTTTATATGGCAAAGTGGTTTTACTTTGAGTATGGTGGTAAGATGAATGGGGATAAAATTGGTGGTAAGGTGGTAAAATTTTCAAATATGGTGGTAAGATTCTCAAGCATGATATGCACCAGTTTATTATTTATTATCACAGTTTCAGACTTCACTATAAAGTGGTACTTACTATAGTATACATTATACTGCTTGTAGTTGTTGCGTGGCTAGAAATATTTGAAACATCTCTAAGTGTCCTTTGGATATTATCTGAAACCGAATCAACATTAGGTAACACTTCGCTATCAGGATGCAGCTCGTTAGTATAAATGTTGCTACCATCATCCGAGGAAGCAATGCTATCGTTTGAATGATAAACATCTTCATCCTGAAAATATAATTAACAATTCACTATCAATAAATTTAAAAGTTCAGAAATCCTTATGGTTACTTTCATTCTTTCGAACTGGTAGCTCTATTATCACGGTTAATACCACTATTCTATGACAAGTGAAAAAAGTATTTTGCATATCCCATCAAATGTTTTTGGCTGGATTTGAAATCCAGCTGCTTGAATCTTAATTAGGACCTAAATAGTATCAATCTGGATGAGCCACTGCGAGTCTTAACCATTTTCTATCACGACATAAGTTTTTTGAATAGCACTGGTTCTGATCCAGTTAACTATTGCAGGATATGCTGAACAGTTTCATCCACTTTACAAAACCATCAACAGTACTACTATTATTAATGTCGATGAGCATAATAATTCATGATCTCCCTCGACAGACACATAATAATTCATAATCTATTTTACTGAACGTTATTATAAACGCATTTACAGCATTTATTCGTAGAATGCTTCCAGAATGAGCGATTTCTTTTTTGAATGCAATAAAGTAGTAAAAATTTCTTTTGTAATAGATTTAATTCAGTGAACAGACCTCATTAGTTTCAAGATTGGCATCAGATGATGTGCTATCCTCCAAATCTGATTCTTCACTATTTGGTGATAAAGTTGCAAAAGGAGGCCTACTATCCCCTGAATCCAAATCCTCACGATTAGGTGACAAAGTTGCAAGAGGACGTCTAATTTTTCTTGGTACTTGTAAATATTGCGCCGACATTTCTCCACTTCTCTTACTTCCTTCTCCTTGTTGCCGATCATTCTCCTGCAAGTACACATATGTACAATCTTAACTGAATGAATATCTAATAATTATACACAAATGTATTAATAATAGGAAGAATAAAAAAGAATAAAATATAGTTAAAGTTGTGGATGTATTTGAATCAAAAAATATTGACCATTACTATTGTCTTATTAAAGATTCCCTTTTCCATGATAAAGACTGTACTGAACATAATTTTTTCTGCAGAGTAATTTAAAAACTAAAAATCATTCAAACAAAATTTCTAAATTATTCCAGTAGAACCATAACAAGTAATACAACTCCACTTGATATTTCAGTATTCTATAAGCTACATTCAATAATAAAATTTCGATGCCCAACAGACAGAGACTGAAAAAATCCTGAATTCCGGTAATTAAAATAAGCAAGCTTTATTTGCTGAAGAAAAAAAAAGAAAACAAATCCCAGAGAATATCATAATATTGAACCATACTCATGTATTTAATGCACTTTATTACGCTTTATTCCTGAAAATTTAAATGCTCTTTAACAAAACACTACGGTTAATATCGAACTTTAAAACACATGCTATCCCAGCCTTATCTTAGATTTTTTACGCACATTTTGAAGCATTGGGAACTTTTTTTTAGCCAAAGACGAGTTGCGTAGGATATTTTACTAGTTAAAAAAAATGGAAAATTACTAAAATTTTAAAACTACCAATGAATGATCCATATTTTTGATAAAACATGTTCTCAAATGTAAAAGGAAAGTAATGAAACCTTGAAATCTTTCGAGCTGCTAGCCTCTTGGCCATTATCTTCATCACAAAAAACAGTAAACGTCGACATTCCTGTTGGAAGCCATCGCCTTCTCGTTGGAGGTTCCTGATTTCTTTGCTGGAAAGTGCAATATAGCTAAAGCGTAATTATCCGAAGTAGATAAAGCTAAGTATTTATAGTCAAAACAGTGTAAATTATGTTCCATATATTTTCGTGATTGATTTAATGTTTGAATTTTAATGCCGCTACCTCACTCTTATGAATGTAACAGCCACAATGCTGAAGTAACGGGTAACAAGGAGATATCATGTTCAATACACAAAAGAGCAAGTCATTCCTATCCAGATTAAGAGTCTAAAAGAACTCAAAATAATTGAAAAAATTGGATCTTAAATGTTTACACATGGCCTATTGTTCCATCGACGATCAGCCCTCGCATCCCTTTGTTCATTCACCAATATAAAATCCAAAGGGTTTTAGTCATTCAGTTACATTTCTTAAGCTTACACTACCAACAATCTACAAGTAGAAACATAAAGGTACTTGGAAAGTTTCGTGGTTCCTTCTCTTGTCGAGTAGCAGAGATTTTCCAGAAATCGATACATAAATTCCTTTCTTTTGAAGCAATTCACATCCCTTACTATATGATCCACCAATATTTGTATCACGATAAGCAAGAGCATGAGGACGGCATTTCCGTTGTCCTTTCCGTCGCAAAAACTGTTCATTTTCCTCATTTTCTTCTCCGAATCTGTTTTCGGCATTTTCATCTGAGGCACCATTCATTATATAACATCTGAAAAAGCAATTTAAATTAGTCCTTTTCAAAGGTTTTGTTTATCAAGGAACTGACTCTGAATACACAACAATTTCTGATAGTACGTCGTATGCAATAGATTCAGCAGACTTATACATATGTTAAGAGGTTTCAAAATATACATTACATAGTTGTACTTGATGTAAAAATTAAGGACGAATCTATCATAATGCACTGATAATTTGATGAGATTTTCGTAGAAAGTTCTAGTACTTCATTCGATGTGCCTCATTTCATTCTAAAATCAAGAACCACTTCCCATATCTTCTGCATCACGCATTCTAAGCAGCAGAACTTTAATTGTGGTTTTTTTTTTCGCCAAAACTGCAAATTTACAAGTTGATAGTCTGCAAGATCTCCCAAAAAACTTCTACTTTCTGGTCAACAGAACGAACCATAAACTTACCACATCAACAAAAATAAACTGTTTAAATCCGCAAAAAAAAGTAGTAATTTGACAAATCACTGGAATCAAAAAACCTGAAATAAACTTCTCCAGAATTCGACAAAATTGAAGAAAAAAAAAGGAAAAACGATGTACAACAGCGCATAAGTCATAAACGACGTCATTCTTCCGAATTCTCTTCTAAATGATAAAGTTAAATAACAACAATTTTCCATCCACTATTATATCTATTAACTTCATGCTACCCCTGTATGTACTGAAAATGATACGAACGAATGAAGTGAAATATCCGCTGAGAATTTGCAGTAGATACACGTATGCAATTTGATTAATTAATAACAATATACTCGAAAATTTCAATTTCTAGAACAAGTGAAAAATTCGAGAGTAGCAGTGGTGGTGCTTAGGCATTGATCCTCCTTAGAAGAGGACTATGGAAATTAAATATCCAATCAACCGGGATAGTTCATTTCGATGTACATTTGATGAACAAGTCTTCCCTCGTTATTAGCTATCATCTACATTAATAATTTGTAAGCATTGAGTTACTCTGCAAAATTACAAAATAGAAATTTCAAAAAAAAAAACTCAATCACTTCCATTACAAACAAATGAATTATTGCTTTCTGTATCTGTAGCAATCATTCGTTGTCATTTTCATTTTGTATCTAAAACTCTTGAAAAATCGCTCGGAAATTTGTCGAGAAACCAATTACCCTTTGATTATTTATAAAATTGAATTTATTAGAAATTTGACGAATAAGGGTTGCCGCTTACTCCTCTTCCAATGGATGCAAATAATCCTATGAAAGGGTAAAGATCGCGTGAATTAATCCCTCAGTTATTTAGCTTTTATCTTTGAAAAAAAAAAAAGCTCAAAAATTGGGAAGCCAAATTTCACATATAAAGAAATGGGTCCAAATTTAGTAAGAATATCATTATCTTATTTGGCATGGAATATGAGTAATTCAAGAATCAACCACAAACCAAGAAAGATATTCCATACAACACAGTAACATTCATTAATGAAAGCGAAATAGCTAATTAACTTTGTTTTGAAAAATTTGCAATTTCTGGAATCAAAATTACGTTTTGACGATACATGGCACTTGATGTTATCGACATTAAAATTTAAAAAAGAAAAAGTCTCCAAATCGCAAATTGATGATAAAATTCATAATGATAATAATATACGATAGACAATATTAGGGTATAACTTCATCTGGAATTGATAGAGAGATTTTGGCAGGAAAAAAAACTGAAGGACGAAGAAAGGACCTTGGGAAGCTTTTGATCGGTTATAATGATTCTTATCTACCCACTAGTGCTACCCTTTTCAATCCAACACTACCCTCTTCATTGACGTTATCACCGACACCCGATTCGTAATTCATCTCCTATTAATTTTATTAGAGCTTTTAATGAGTGAACAAATTAGTGCCAACTGTTTGAATGGCACTCGAGACCTAAAAAAAAATTTTGTAATTAATAATTAAATTTATAATCCAACCGGTAATGAATAGAAACCGCGGTGTATCGATTTTACAATACATGACAGTTTACCATTTTTATACATTTCTAACAACGCGATGCTTGACTAATAGTCTACATAGTCACGTTTGAAACATAAGAAAGATAAACATAGGCTAGCATGTATTTAGCATACAAATACAACTCCATAAGAAGTAGAATGCTCAAATATCCTCAGAAGGATAACTTCAGTTATTTATTTCCAAGTTTTAATTATTATTGAGCTTCATTTTACTCCTCCCCCTTCACCATTTTTTTTCTCTCTCTCTCTGGCTCTCTCACTCCTTCAGTTATACCATGAAATATAGTAGTAAGTTTTGCAGTATGAAGCATATTTAGCAGTGAATAGGCTAAAATATTCTGATTCTTTCTACCTTCAAATAAGATAATAAGTATTAAAAATGAGAACAAAAGCGAACAACTGCTCTTTTCTCCCTTACAATTTTCTGGCGCCACATACTTTGTTCTGATAGAACTGTAGTATAACATAGCCCATTTTAATAGATCAACCGGAAAGACAAGAAGAAATGAGTGATAAATAGTGTGTGCCTATTTTAAATGGGATTTTATTCAAAATGCGAAAGAGATGAATGAAAAGTCGAGACAGCACTACCTATATTGTCGATTTTCATTTTATTCGAATAAAACAAATTCAACTCCTAATACTGAAGGAAAAGAAATCTGTAAGATGAAAAGATGAAATATATATATATATATATATATATATATATATATATATATATATATATATATATATATATATATATATATATATATATATA